CCAAATTAACATATTAATATAGCAGTCATTGTATATCTAATAAATAACAAAATACAAAATTAACACATTAATATAGCAGTCATTGTATATCTAATAAGTAACAAAATACAAAATTAACATATTAATATAGCAGTTATTGTATATCTAATAAATAACAAAATACAAAATTAACATATTAATATAGCAGTCATTGTATATCTAATAAATAACAAAATACAAAATTAACATATTAATATAGCAGTCATTGTATATCTAATAAATAACAAAATACAAAATTAACACATTAATATAGCAGTCATTGTATATCTAATAAATAACAAAATACAAAATTAACATATTAATATAGCAGTCATTGTATATCTAATAAATAACAAAATACAAAATTAACACATTAATATAGCAGTTATTGTATATCTAATAAATAACAAAATACAAAATTAACATATTAATATAGCAGTCATTGTATATCTAATAAATAACAAAATACAAAATTAACATATTAATATAGCAGTCATTGTATATCTAATAAATAACAAAATACAAAATTAACATATTAATATAGCAGTCATTGTATATCTAATAAATAACAAAATACAAAATTAACATATTAATATAGCAGTCATTGTATATCTAATAAATAACAAAATACAAAATTAACACATTAATATAGCAGTCATTGTATATCTAATAAATAACAAAATACAAAATTAACATATTAATATAGCAGTCATTGTATATCTAATAAATAACAAAATACAAAATTAACACATTAATATAGCAGTTATTGTATATCTAATAAATAACAAAATACAAAATTAACATATTAATATAGCAGTCATTGTATATCTAATAAATAACAAAATACAAAATTAACATATTAATATAGCAGTCATTGTATATCTAATAAATAACAAAATACAAAATTAACATATTAATATAGCAGTCATTGTATATCTAATAAAATACAAATTTTACACATTAATATAGCAGTCAGGTCAATTCTATATAATCAAACATACTTGCACAGAGTTTCATGCAGATTGAATGAAAAAAACCTTGACGTTCAAGTATCTTTAAGCAAATTACCTGTTGTGCCAAAGCTTCTAAAGGTGCCACATAAACACATCTACCCTCAGGATTTTGTGTAAACATTCTCAGTATAGCAAACTCAGCACAGGTTGTCTTACCACTACCAGTTGGTGCCCCAACAAACACATTATCATCACTGTTATATATAGCATTAAATACTGAAATATTACAACATTATCATAACTTAAACAATATCATCACTTTTATATATAGCATTGAACGACGAAATATTTCAATGTTTATCATTGCTGCTATAGACTGAAATTAAAGATTTATTAACTAACCTTGTGTTTGTATAGGGTTGAATATTGGAAATCGTTCAGAATACAAGGATTCAAATAATGAATTTCGTAAAGCAGTAATAGGAAGTGGTTGTAGATCTAGTAATTCTGTAGGTGGGGGATATTTCTCAGGTAATATAAGATGACGGAATGATACTGGTAACTGAGTTTCAGATCCTAAAAATACAAAGACCTATGTCATAGACCTTAATCTGTTTGTTCAAAAATTATCATTAATTCCAATTGTCAACATCAATCATTCCAATATATATAGGAGTTGGTCATTTTTATAAGCTTTCAAAATAATGCAAACGTCAATATAATAAGGAAAATATGATAAAATGTCAAGAGCATATGAAGATATCAAATAAAAAGCGGTATAAAAAACAAACTCTACCTATCCATTTATCAGAGACCACTCTTATAAAATATTGAGGTGGCAGTGGTTCAAATACAGGAACAAAGAATTTGACAATATGTTCATCTTGGGCAAATTTACTGAAATAAAAAATACATATCACTTAGACTGTTTTGACACTCAAACAACTGCTACTCATGTTGATTGAAAAAAAAAATGCACATTGTACATGTAATTATATGGTAATTCACTAACAAAGAATACCATCAAATCAAAGAATTGGTTAATTTCAACAAAAAACACAATGACATAGTAAAACAAATCAACTATTACCTTTTTAATAAGAAATATTCATGATGTAATATTACTTCACTATCAACATCTTCAACTAAGATCCAAAAGGCCTGAAATATAATGGAGGGAAACTATTATTCCAGCAAATTTTAAAATTTACATTAACACTTTTAATTCCCTATTACAAATTATTATTGAACACATTTATCACAGGAAAGAAATTAAGTAAAAGTAAAATTTATTTATGGAGATTTACCTCTGAATTTTGATGAATCTTCTCTTCCCATTGAAAGTCTGGTGTAATGGTCAGTTCAACACGTAATGTAGATCTAGTTATAGGTTGTATATGTACTGATAAATCTAATTTAGGAAACTGGTGAACATATTTGTGTATTGTTTTTCCCATCTTTGGCATACGTAACAACTCTCCAATTTCATTATAGCCCAGATCATAAAGTCTCTCAAATGGAAAATTTTTCTTCTCAATTTTCTTGACAACTTCCTCACCAATTTTACGGAATTGTCGTAATGGGGTCATTGACTGCCACCTGCAAATAATCAGATTTCAAAGATATAACTTAGTAGCTAATTCATTGGTGTCTTATTTTGAAAAAACTTTTACAGGTACCACATAATAACTCCAGTAATAAGTAATGTTATCCTATGATGGGGCTAGAAACTAAACACTTATCAGTGATTGTGAATGGATATTGCATGAGTTTATTCAAAATCCATAAAAGTGCACATGGTGAATTAAGGGACAAAGCTTGGTGTTCTTCACAGTTGAAGGTAAAACTGCTAAATATTTTATGGATATCTTACATTCGTTTATTCACCATCTTACTGAGAGCTAGAGCTTTATCAGTTAACTGTGCCCAACTACGATGTAAAACTATTTCAAATATAGCTCTAATTAATCTCCCAGCAGACTGTGTTATATATACCATATCAGCCATTAAAGCAAAGCCTTCTAATTTCAGTTGAGAAATATACGCTTGTAGTAAAACATTCACCTGAAAATGACAAAACAGTGCTTAAAATACACTCAAGATATACAATTTTATAAATCTTAGGACTTCATAGAATAAATTTGATCAATAATATTAACATTACGACTACTTTGAATCATTATATGGTTTTATGATAACCATTCATATTTTCAAGAGATTAATCCGATTATAGCAATGTGTTTATCAAAAGTATACTAACCTTGGCACTAGGTTCTTCTATACTCTCTTTAATAGGTATTGGTACTCTTTCTAACAGTTTTAACAATTCTAATTTCTCTTCCTGTAATAATATAATTTTATTCCTTTTTAATCTTCAGCATCTTTCAGGAAGAATGGAATAATCAAAATTTAACTTATTCAAATTTGAGGTTTCTGCTCTCTTCAAGATTAAAACCCAATGCTTTTAGTTTTATGGTTACAATTTCCTGTCTGATAAAGCAATATTTGTCACAGGAGCCTACAATTTCATGACAATATATTCAAAACAAATTTGTTGGTCGTCTTCTTTCATTGCAAACATCACAGTAATTGATGCCATACTTTTGATAGCTATCTTGAAATCACAACTCCCTGTCAATTGGCATTAAATTGGTGTCTATTCTTTAACATTAACATTGATCAGAACCTTCAGGACAACTGAATTGACACGACCCTATAATTAAACTCAGTAAAACTTACCTCTCTTACTGTAAGATTTCTAAACTCTGATGATAAAGAGAAAACTCTGAATAATTCTATCTCACTCAGTGTAGGTTTTAATAACTGGTTATAGGTAGCTATAGTTTCATTAGTACAATAGTACTGACTAGCTATACGACCTAACTCAGTCACCTAAAATTACAAATTTATCATGTTATCATAATATTTTGAAACAGAAATTTGATAACCCAGCATTGTTAGTACTCTTCTTGTGTTAAGAAACCAGGTTAGAAAATACCTAATGAGTGTAGGCAAGTAAGGGAATTGTCATAATAGCAACAAGAGCTCCAAACCAGAACTGACTACATGATCTTGTAAAAGGCACTTCCAAGTGCAACAAAAATTTTGATTTCTTAACATGGTTTTCACATCTACACTACACAGGAGTTTGATTTCCACTATATACTTCATCAATAAAGGCACATTTCAAACTACAAACTATCATTATGACATTTTAAAACATTTGAAATTCCCTGCTAATTACTATATACACTACCTGTAAATTGCCAGATTTTTTATCGTAACGTATTAAATTATGTTTATGTAATGTAGATGCTGCAGTATGTATTAAATCTTTACGGCGTTGTTGTAATAAAGGATCACCTTTTAACTGATCATGACTAATACCATATAGTGTAGGATTACGTAACATTCTTATATACAGATAGGTATAACCTAGAATTCAAATATATATAATGCTAAATATGATGATTGGTGATATATATTATGATTATGACACAGTTTTATGGTATACTACTCCTTAGTTTTATTTCTATTAGTTTTAGTTAAATTAAGATGTTATGTGGACAAAATAAACATACAGACAAAAGATTTTTTCTTCAGCCCTGGAAATTTCCAGATTCTTGAATACATATATAAACAAAATACTTACCTAACCAATCTACAGCTTCTTTTACATTCTGTACTGTTCCAAGTACTATTTCAGCATTTAAATTATCAGCAAGTTTACTTATAAACTGACTTTCTACTGGTAACTACAAATAATTCAAATATCAACCATTATAGCAGGATATCAACTATGATTGAACTAAAGTGAAAAGTTCATTGGCTGCTACCAGTGTTTTGTTGCAATGTTGTTTTGGATTTCGGGTTTCATTTTGCAGTTTGGATCGTATAAATATAAATATTATAGATATTGCATTTTAAGAGTCAGGTATTCCGGTAATTTTGAAGGTCAATATTGCACAAATGTTTTTGTCTTGCGTTTGTAGAGTTAAAGAATAAATTCACTCTTCTAAAATAGTTTACATCATAACATTTTATAGAGCTGAAGGACACTCACCTGTTGATTCATCAAACTAAGGTAATATTGCAGTTCACTATGATTAGTTATCATAATACCTTCACCATTAGTATCATATTGTGGTCTACCAGCACGACCTAACATCTATAATAAAATACATAATAAAATATTATCATAATTCACCTTTAATATCATTGTATTGTTACATCTTTAAAATAATACATGACATATACTTTAAGACTGAGACTTAAACACTGACCTGCATGACATCTAAGGCACCAAGTTCTACCCATCTACCTTTCTCTGGATTATAGATCTGGGTACCTTTAATAATGACAGTATGAGCTGGTAGATTAACACCCCAGGCTAGAGTTGAGGTTGATACTAATACTTGTATATGTCTATCAGCAAATAGATCTTCTACTAGTGTTCTATCAACTCTATAAAAAAATAAAGGTCTTTATGTTTACAATCACTTTATTTCTAAAACACAGTGTTTCAAAAATACATTTAATAGGAATCATATAAGAATTGAACAAACATAAATGTAGAACATAGCACTAGCTGTCAGTCAAAGTGTCAAGTGATTGAGAAATTCTTTATGAATAAATATCTGTCTATTTAATAGAAAATTCAGTCATTGATGATCATCTTAAGTGAAAAAAGATGCATTACTAACCTTGTCATACCAGCATGATGGATAGCAAAACCATAGGATAGTAAATCTTTTAATTCATGATTCTACAAAACATATTATACAATTCAAAGAATACATCATATTTTAATATATATACACAATCAAATTTTTCTACAGCACAGGTAGTAAAGCAAAAGGTCAAAATATTTTCATACCTACTATTTAAACCAATGGGGCATATAGTACTTACATTAACTAACTCAGCTTCCCGTCTCAAGATCTCAGTAGATGCTGAACCTTCTTTTAAAAATAGACCCAGTGAATCTTTTTCTAAACATGTGTCTCTAACAGCACGAGCTGTTTTACCAGTCTCTTTACGGGAATGTACAAATATCAGGATCTAAAACAAAATTTGGATCATAAAGAAAAAGGCTTTTATTGTTCAGATGAAAAATCTCCAATTTGGGACACCACGTTAATCCTTATTTTAGCATTTTGAAAATTTCTCAAAATCAGACACAAAATGTAACTAATTTCAAATAATAATAGTCAGACATGACTGGTAACCATGAGACAAACTCATAACCTGGCCATAAAGTTAACCAACAAATCAAAATTTCCTACAAATTTTTCTTTAGAATATCAATAAATCACATACCTGATTTTTACCAGCGTGTTCTAAAACCTTTTCATATACAATATCATTCATTAACTGAAATCTTTTAACAGCTTTCTTCTCAGTGATACCAATAAACTGCTGTTCTAGAGGAACAGGTCGGAAACTATTATCAAAGAAAAATAGACCTTCCTTTGGGTCTACACGTAAGAAAGTGGCCACATCTTCATAATTTGGTAAAGTAGCACTAAGACCAACTAGTCTGACATCTTCTTGTGTAGTTTCTATGTTACGTATTGTTCTAAAATAAATAACAACACATGACCTTTATAATGCCAACAATTCCTAAATCAAAATATCTAAACAACAGGTTCCAGTGAAAATATCTACATTATATCATTTCAAATAAAGAAAAATATAAATTGAAAGCATACAGATTCCATACACAAGCAAACGACATGTTTTGAAAAGTCTATAATAATGGAAAAGAACTCAACAAAAACCAAAACGTTGACAGAATACAATAAATGTAAAATATGTAATTACCTAGCTACCAGTGATTCCAATACAGGTCCTCTATCATCATGAAGTAAGTGAATTTCATCCTACAAAACCAAAATTAAACATAATCAAATATTTGTTGATACTGAATTTAGCTGAATAAACTTGTCATTGACAGTGAATGGAGGCAAATGGATATTTATTACTAATGGTTACTGGATATTATAAAAAAAAAAAATTTAATTGAAATATCATTATTTGTTGTTATATACTTACAAATATCATCAGCCTAACTAGCTGTGTATAAGTTCTTTCACCACCTTTACGTGTTATAATATCCCACTTCTCTGGTGTACATACAATAATTTGAGTAGCACTAATCTGTTCTCTTGATAATTGATGATCTCCTGTCAATTCATCAACCTTAATACCATATGACTTTAATCTCTATAATAGAATAGTTGTTCAAGATTTCATTCTTACTTTATTTGTTTTGTCTATGAACATCCAACACCTTTACTTAGATGAATGTAGTGTTAAAATATCTTTTGCATTATCTTAAACATGTAAAGCCAATATTACTGGAAGGTAACATTTAGTTTTTAATTTAGATCTAATACAACAAGGAAGTAGTATTATTTATAAAATATTATAAACTATAAAGAATCTCTGGTAGAAGAGTAAATTCAGTATTTCAGTATTGTTGAAGAGTGAGCATGCTTAACCTAACAAGTAAAAGTAAATATTGCAGTGGATTTCAAATTAATTTTTTGGGATCAAAGATCAGAGTATGAAATTGGACAAAAATATCTCTGAAAAGGTATTATGGGACCAAATTAAAAGAAATATTTTCATATCATTATGAAATTTAAATTTCAAAATTAATCTTTTTCAAAGTATTGAATTCTGTACCAACTGACCTTAGAAAAGTTCCCAACCATTTCCTGTACAAGTGATCTCATAGGAGCTACATAAACTATTTTAAAATCATCAGTATTAATAGTACCATCAGGATTGACATGTTTACCAATTTCTTTTAGTATACATAGTAATGCTACATTAGTTTTACCAGCACCCTGTAATAGTAAATAATTAGTTTTGAAATCATAATAGCTCACCTTCTGAAATTGTCCATTTAGGAAATAAATAAAATTTTCATGGCAAATAAACTGTTCAAACGGTCTATTTCATCAATATATGTGTCATATGCAAAAAAGTTGACATGGAAGTTGGTAAAGAAGAACTTACAGTAGGAGCACACAATAGAATATTCTGATCACTCTCCATCGTTACTTTACATAATCTACTCTGGATTCTATTTAAACTTTTAAACCCTTCAAAAGCTGGCTGAGCATATTTTGGCAGTCTATCTATTGGTACCAAAGACTGAAAAAAAAATATGTTTCTGAAAAAAAACAGCACTCCACAAGAAAGTCTTACCTAAGTAAAGCTGTCTCTTTCTCCTAAGCCCTCATAACTACATAAATCATACAGCAATATTGCTATCTTCTAAAGTGATGATTTCAATTGGTTTCTAACCCTAGATAAATGCCTACTTTACAAATTACTGGTCAGGAAGGAGTAAATTTGTAAGACATTATTTTATCTTTCTTCTTTTTTTGAGGTGGACATGAGTTATTCTACCATTGTGTTTTATTTATGGACAGAATAAAATATCTAACTATCTAATCTAATATATAAACATGTAACTGTACCTCATCTGTATCAAATGGTTTAGGTTTTAATGCTGGTACATGAACTTCTTCATAACCTTGATAATATAAATTAAATATTGTGAACAATTCTAAATACCCCTAGATTAACAAGTAAGCATGCATTTAATCCAATGAACCACCCGAATAGTCTCTAATATGCAAAAGGTTTCACATTTTTCAGAATTTCATATTACCTTTTCTCTGTTTTCTAAATGATCCATCAGGCAGTTGACATCTTTTGTTTGCCATTAAATGTGATCCTTGAGCAAACATCAAATCATCTAAATCTAAATTCTGTACTGGACCAAGTTCCTAAAATATCAGGAAGATGTTTTATGTTAATTCAGTACATATGATTATCCAAATATTAAATCAATTTTTATAATTTCAAAAGTCTTAATTCAAAATAAAATAAAAGTTGAACGTAGAAACAGATGTGTATGACGTTAGAGCTAGTAAAATATCTAGGACTTACAGCACGAAAACTAAATCTAATTTTAGAATTTATCAGTAGAAATGAATATTATTTACAGAAAATGGTGATTTACTTACAGGTTTATCATCAACATCCATAGCTTCTATATCAGCTGCTACTCTAGACTGTCTAGCTTGTTGTCTTCTACTTCTTTCATCACTAACAATATCATCTCTTTCGGTCTCTTGTAGTGTAGATAATATACCTCGTAATTCATTATCATTTCTCATCTTCTCTTCTATCTTATTTCTTTCTGATTTAGTCTGAGCAGACGCCAACAGAGTACAGTACAAAACTAAAATAGAAGCAGATTTTTACTTAATCCCAAAATAAATCCCTTATCTTATCTGAAAGCTTTTTAATTTTAGAACAATTACCACACTTCACTTTTAAAACAGCATCAGATAGCATTATAAAAGATTTCAAGAAGCGATCAATAAAGGTAGTCATACAAGGTTTATGTTATCAAAATTGCCATATTTTGCTTACTCATTTGTCTGTTCATACGTAAAACTTTAATAAATTCAAACTGAGTAACACCAAGTAACATGACTAGTTGATTTTCACACTCTCTATCATCACCAGCAGTCTAATTAATACCAAATTAATAATAAACAAACAAATTACTCATTATACATAACTTTATATTGAAAGATATATATTAAACATTGAACTAGTATTGCCAGTTAATGAATTTTGCATTTTTTTATATGATTATTAGAATAGAATGGCAGAGCATAAAGTCAGGATAGCAGCAGTGTATGAAAAGTCAATCATACACAGAAATAATGTTTGATCCTATATTTTTTATTTCAATGTTACTTTCCCTAACTTACATTTAAAATCTCTAAAACTTCTTTAGATTTTGTTTGTGCCATATTAGGATCATCAGGATAAGCTTTACTTAGTTTACGTTGAATCCAGAAAGCATCTACATCTCTGGGATGTAATCCACCATCAGACTTTGTTGCTTCTTCTGATAGCTAGATTAAAGATATATGGAGTTAAACAAACAATAATACAAGATACACTTCTTTATATGATGTTATTAACTCAAAAGAGTTGTAAATTAATTTCAGTTTTTGACAGTTTGATGCAGACTTACACAATGCCTTTACATTCATAGATTAGGACATTTGGGAATCTAAGATAGATTCAACTTTACGAAATTATGGATGTAAGAAATATTGGTATCACACTGCAGGCCATATTTGAACTGACTATAAATAATTACATGTGAACTGATATTCCAATAATTTTTTTTCTTCATTAAAACAAAAAAATATGTCCGGTTAATACATGTAAATCTAAATATTTAGTACATGATTTCAAATTGAAGTAATACATACATTAGCATGTAAGGTAACATCTAGATTAGATTCTTCTCCCTCATCAGCTTCATCGGCATCTTGTACTTCACCAAACATATCAGCATCGTCCTAAACATAAATATTATATCTTAGGTATTACTTTGATATCAATGACAACAACATTAACATAGAAACCAAGGTGCTATAACAGGTTATTGTTGTTATCCTGACAAAGTTTCCCATATTTAACATTGGATGACACTTCCTGTCTTCCTTAGCGCAATAAGATTCTTTTTATATTAGAACTGGCCTGGTATCAAACTGAAACCATTCTTATTCAAAATATTAAGATGGTAATATAATTGTTTTATGATTTTCTACCAGTGAATCTTTTAGAAAAAAAAGTTTTTAAAATGTACAAAAGCCAAAATATTAAATACCTCATCTTCTGATTCTTCAAACTGAACATTAACACCATATGTTTCATCAATATTCTCAGCTATAATATAAATAATACACACATCAAAGCTGGTAACAATTAGCTGCGACAGAAAAAGCCTACTTTCCTATCACTACTATTTAGTTGTTAAGGGAAATAATTTAAAAACTTAACGGCTAAATTAGGGCTAGATTAGTAATTCTATAACTAAATTAGGGCAGTTTAAAACATTTAAATGGATTATTTTCGAACATTTGGCACTAAAGAAACTGGCTCGTCTCTTGAAATTTATATAGTGTATATTTAGCTTCAATTGATTTTATCAGCGGAAGTTGACTTACATGTTTGTACTTTCTCTTCCTGACCATAATCAGTTATTTTCTTTCCCAAATTGACCAGTAAAGCAAATCTTTCTTCTGGGATAGGACCTAGTAAATTCCCAAATTCCTTCATTCTTTCTTTTTCTCTCATTCTGTCATTCTTTAAAACAGCCAATACCTCATCAGCTGCTCCACATAAAACATCTCTTGGCTGTAACATACAATTATTAAACATACATAACTCAACAAATTCCACCAGTAATTCATTATTGTTGAGAAAGGTAAGAAAATTTCTAGTAACAATCAATGCCAGCTCTGACCAAAGGTTATTGTATATTATTAGTTGATTCCTGGATTTCTACGATATAAGATATTTACACACAACAGAAAGCTGACCTGATGATAAAAACCAGCATCTGAATAATAAAATATAGTGTAAATTTGTATCACACAAATAGGGTTTCTTGCTTACCTGATCTCCTATAGCAGCCTGTATAAAACTTAATAACACTTCATAAGTTTGTCTGGTTTCTTGAGTTTTTGGTCTGTAAACTATTCCTACCATATCATCAATACCTTCAGATAACAATGTTGTACCCTTCATCTTAATCATATCTCTCTGTGCTTCATCTCTCTTATGACGTCTACAAAATAGCAAATTGGTTTCAAATCATATCTTAAATATTGTGTGGTTTCTTGTCCTAACTAGAATTCTGATAATTAAGAAAAAGCAAGGTATGTTAGGCTGCCAAGCTTTAATTGAATGATATATTCTCAAATAAACATAAAAATGTGACAGGAAAACATGGACTTTCTATGGTGTTTCGTTATGCCATCTCCAACCTCAAATTTTCGTCAACAAGGGGTGCACATTATATACGGGTAAATGAATTTTTCCATATTTTGATGGGGTAAGGAAGGGGTGCACATTATATTCGGAAATATACGGTAAGCTAAACATAAAAATAAAATAATCATTAAATGATTATCAAAGAAAAATGCTTTCAACCATGACCACAGCATCTCTTACTTATTTTTTCTTTCTTCCATTTGAGGTGGCTTAGATTTTTTTGCTTTATCTCCCATCTTGGTACCAATAAGTTTTCCCGTAAGGGACATAACCTCTCCTGTGGCTTCATCTCGAGCTCTTCTATCAATCAATGTTCTATCAACTTGCAGTACAAGATTAGAGTTCTACAATGAAGAGATAGTTTATCATATCATATTATTATTGGTTATTAATAAAATATAAACGCTTCTACAGGGGAAAAGATAATGAACATTTACCACAAGATTTTCAGCACAAGAGACAAAAGGAAAACAAAAATATTGGATGGAGAAGGAATGGGTGGTTGAAGAAATTGTGTGGAGCTCTACATATTCTTCGACTTAGACTTTAGAGAATGGTCTGAACGGTTATGGTGGAGATGGACTATTCATACGACATGCATAAGATACATAAACATAAGATTCAATTTCAAAGAGCAAGAATACTCTTATTACTGTAATACTGATGGTAAGGCAATGATAAGGAGTTAAAAATGTAAACAAAGGTTTAATGTTGTTTGTTATCGTGTATTTTGATGTATAGTGTCTCAGCCAGTGTCCGCTCATAACAACTTACCACTTTGTACTCATATTGCAGCGATCTAGCCGCAGCATCTGCCATGGCTGTCTTTTAGACCTTGTTTCAAACTAGATTTCGTTCTCGCATTAATATTCAAAATTTACGACCAGCACACGTTTGTGAAAGAAATATGGCGGCCGCCGGCTAACATCCGGTTTATGTAGAAACAAATTACGATATTTACAGAAACGAAATGCTATTAACATTATTAAAATTATTTTCTTTTTTCCATCAATGTCCCTAAATAAGAAGAACTATCATGGTCATTAAAATATTTATCTATGAGAGTATCATCATGAGCAACTCAGACACAAAATTGGTTATTTCGCCAAGTTAAAGGAAGATGCTTTTTTAATAACCCGTTGAAAGAAAGACAACTCTGTATCGCTAAAATCGGTGCATTGACTGCTTAGCCTACTTTTATTTTGGCTTAGTTTCGTTACATTTATTTCACATACCGGTAATTAATTTTTCCTATGAGGGTAATGTGCATACCAGTTACTGGGTTTAAAAATTATAAGTTTTTACTTGGCATTACTCATAATAGGCTAGTCGGTGTGGTGATTTTGTTTCATTCAGTCTCAGAAATTTTCTGGAAATTCCCTTTTGATAGATTTTTTAATAGCATTTATTTATATGATGAAATGGATATGGGATAACCTAGTTGAAGAAAATACTTATCAGCTGTGTTTGTTGCACATGACTATAGAAATGTTAAACGTTGGTTCTTTACATGATGTTGATTGTTTGGTTATGTCAAGTCATTAATATTATTAGTCAAATCAAATGTAGCCGGTAAAAAGCAATAGGGCCTACTGAGTTGAAAAATGTTACTGCCAGTAATTTGACTGCACTTTGTATGCAAGATTCACAAATTTTGAACTTACCTTTTGTTAAAAACAACCAATTGACTCTGTATACCGGTAGGATAAATAAAAAAACATGGCTGGCTAATGCCAGTAATGGTGGCTGTGGGTTCTAATAGCGGCCAACATATGAAAGTCATCTTTATTCATACTTTTAGTCGACCCAGCTGTGAATGGGTGTGGATAATCAGGGAAAAATCAATGCCCAGAGGTTTGGCGAAGGACCAGCTGGTAGAAAGGATCCTATGTGAACTTGAGTTGTTATCCTTGTAAATTATAGTTCTTTCTATCTTTTTCTCTTTCTTGATTAGTTAAAATGTTTTTATTTCATTCTCAAACTCTGATAATGATACTAATAATCTGTATTCATTATATACTGACTATTGTACCTTATAGGCCAGAAATATTTATTAATGCATATTTCCAGATAGTGATGATTTGGGGTAAGGTACTATAATACTTATATATACAAGGCTAACTTGAAGTCCTAATACTAAGGATATATTCTATTAAAATTCTATTTCAGGTTGATTAATTATTTAAATTTCTAAAGATATGGCTGAAAATTTAATAACGCAAGAATTAACAACTAAACAAAGTGAAGCAGAGCAGAAAAATAATCAAAAAAAAGAGGACAGTGAAGAGGAATATTTTTCTTTTGATGAGGATGAAATAGATTTAGATAACCAGACAGAAGATTCTGGCAGAAAAGATTTGCAAGCAGACAAAATTCCAGTTGGAAATCTCATCACTGCAGATCACCACCATATACAAGACAAAAATGCATCTGAAAACAATGAAAAGAATGTGAGTTCTTGTGAAGACAGTGAAGAATTATGTAAAAATGAATGTGATGAAAGTGAATATAAAGAAAATGTAGATGAAATATTTGAAGATAATGAAGATGTAGAAAGACTATTAGAAGATAATGAAGAAGAAGATGATATAGGAGATAAAGAAGAAGAAATTAATGAAGAAGAATATAGAAGATCAATAGAAGAAACTTTATCAGATGATGAAAAGTTGGTAAGTTTAATGGTTTTTTTATTTATTTTTTTTTATTTTATCTTAATTTTCCAGACCTTTATTGTTATGAAATAGACAATATTCATCTGATTTTGTATTTGTCCTATGGCTGATTGAATCTAATTGAACTCTATTGTGACTTCCAGTACACCTTCAATAAATTAACAAAGTTATACAAGTGGATCATAACTGCTTGATATAGCATGGTACTCTTTATGATTATCAAATAGTAAATAGTTTTTAGTCACCTATGATAATGGTATAGTCATATGACAACTATAGTGGTTGAGTTAGAGTGATTTTTGTAAAATCATTTCATTTTGATAATGTACTAAACATATTTCAGGAACGGAAAGAAAAAGCTCAAGTATTAAAAGATGAAGGCAATAGATTATTTAGATTAGGAAATTATACAGAAGCTCTTGAACAATATTCAGAAGCATTAAATATATGTCCCTATTCTTTTCCTAAAGAAAGATCTATAATGTTTTCTAATAGAGGGGCATGTCAAATGAAACTGGTAAGTTTATTTTAAAGTTTTGATTAATAACACAGACTGAAATAATTCAGTTATCTGACTCAAGAACACATATCATGACTATTTACTAACAAAATCTTCCATCTCTGGTTTCATAAATTATAAATAAATAATAAATAAATAATTAATAAATGCATCTAGAACAATCTTATCAGGGATAAAATGTCCATCTGTTAAATTTCACTGCCTCTTCACTCAATTAGCTGGTGATACATGTCTCAATATTTACAAGTTTTCATTCAAGGGATGATACTTTTTCTTGATTAAATAACTTCACAATCTTGTAGGGAATCCAGGCAAATAGGACTTCTTCAGCAACGACAATTTGTCCAACACATCAATGGCTAAGTATCATGTAGTGATCAGATTGTGGTATTTCAAAATGTTTTATTTGTGTTATGATATGAAGTTTAATTAATGATGGTTTATATGTTTTAGGAGAATAATGAAGAGGGTATAAAAGATTGTAGTAGTGCGATAGAACTTCATCCTCATTATGTTAAAGCTATATTAAGAAGAGCAGAATTATATGAAAAAACAGAGAAATTAGATGAAGCCTTAGCAGACAACCAAAAAGCTGTAGAGTTAGATCCCAGTCAAACAAAAGCCAGAATAACAGCAATGGTAAGTTGAAAAAGTTCAATTTCAGTACTGTTGAATCAGAATAAAGTATTAATTTTTTACCTATTACCACTATATAAATTCTACAGAAAGTTACTTGTTTTGGACTCTGATTGTTATGGAAGATACGCAACTATAGAAGCACTGGCCAAGGTCAAAGCGTACAATCCAATTAAATCGCAGTATTTAAAACTTCTGTTATACAAGAAAGGTGGCTATTGAATTCTAGGTATAAGACATAAAAGCTTTTGTGAAGATGGTTGGGCTATAACTTTGTACTAATTATTATGTCTTTGTAATTTTAAGTTGTACAGTATGGTCCAGTCTGTTCTGCGTACATATGTTGAATCTGATTGCCTATTATATAAGGTTTCACTGATTTTATTCAGATTAGTTTCTTTGATTTTAGATTCTTCTTTCAAAAAATGAATTAATTTTTTTCCATGCTCATGATAGTTCAAAGGTCATTCAATATATTTTTTTATCTTGATTATTTTAGAAATTATCAGAAGAAATTAAAGATAGAAATGAGAAAATGAAGACAGAAATGTTAGGTGAGACAAGTTGTAAAATATATTTCAATCATCATATATGGCAAAATATCTTTCCAATAACAATCAAATATAGTTGAAGAGTAGAGTAACTCTAAACATTTTCATTCATTTTTAAATAGTTCAGTATATTGCTAATCCACATTGTCACTGCTATTTCCTTATTGAAATCAGTCTTTTACATGTTATATTATTTTAAATTGGGTTAAAATGTTTCTAGTTGTAATTGATTATGTAAACACTCTGATTTTGACTGTTCAAATTTCAGGTAAATTAAAAGATTTAGGTAATTTAGTTTTAAAGCCGTTTGGATTATCTACAGACAATTTTCAACTGGCACAGAATCCTGATACTGGTTCATATAGTGTTAATTTTAAACAGAATTAATTGTTTATTATACAGAAGATTTCTGTCGATATTCCTGATGTAACGAGTGCTGAGTGAAAATATGTGATCACCTTTAAATATAATCCTAAGATTTCGCCAAAACATGTCTTAGGTGGTTCAATTTTTTTGGTATGACAATTTTAATGAGAGTTACTAGTTACTTCAATAAGTTAATTAGAATATGAATTAATTATTTGTAAACAAGAACAATATTGTGATGACATTGTTAGTACCTGGTATGATTTTCAGAAATATATAACAGGATGAAATTAGTTGTGTATCTCCTATTGTAATAATTTTGTAATAATTTGTATCATTTATGTGAAACTTTTTTTGATGCTGTCAACCCATCAGAATAAATTTGATGACGAAGTAGTTGAATCAAATGACGGTGGAAAATTATACAGTAATATTATGTGTTTTATCTAGTCAGGGTCTTTTAAGTTTCTTTTCCTTTCCTCTATGTAATTGTGAATGTTGCTTATACTTTTCTTAAAACTGTGTTCAAAAAATAATATTAACTCCATGTATTGTTGGAGTCTACTGGTGTTAGGTTTTTAAAGACTTTGAGAGGATCTGCTAAACTAGTTTCATGTCAGGCTATATTAGTTTAAAATGCTGACAGGTAGTTTTACTATTTTGAGTCAGACATTTTTCTGTAATTTTAGGAAAACTTCAGGACAGAAGTGACAATAGTCTGAGGTTATGATAACACAATCACAATAAACATTGTGCAAAGTTCTATTTAGACTGTCATCACTAACGGCTATTTTGATTTTCTATGACAAAACAGACATCAGATTTCCATTTTGAAAAATTGGTACTGGAAGCTGAAATGACTCTTATCAGCATGGAAAGCAATGCAGTCATATATTATGCAGTGTTATTACGTAGCCTTTGTTGAAATTAGATTAGCCTGCAGTAAATAAAAGGGTTTTCCCTATCATTGATGCTAGTTAGAGGGACTGACATGGAAATATATACGTCCATGCTATAGACTGTAAATGTGATAAAGGATATACCAATAGGCAATTAGTCAAATTCGGTATTGAAGTTGATCTGTAACAACATCTTCATTTGATACAGCACAGTATCCGTTATTTTATCAGAATGACAAGGTGACTTCTGATTCGCATACCATTAAATAAAGGGTACCACAGCATATCAACATTTTGCTATATTGATTGTGATTTTAACGGATATCTTACACAACATTTTATTTTCTAATCTTTTTGAAATATAAACAGATGATATAAAATCAAATTTCTTTTTTACCAGTCTCATGAAAAAATCGAGAAAAATGGTATAAAACATTTAAATTGTTCAGTAGAGTACTAACGAAGATTAATTTTTATAAGAAAAGAACTTTCTTTATGGCTGCTGTATTTGGATAATTGTGATATGAGGCACCAATAAAAAGAAGACAAAAAAGTGATGATATAATGGTGTAGTATTAATTTGGGCAAGAACTCTGGTCTACTGTATTGAAGTGGTTAGGATCAATGTTGTAACGTCGTAACATATGATAAATTCTATCTAGTTCACCCTCATTGATTCCTTGTTGGTTTCGTGTTAATACCCATGCCGTTTCTGAAATTATAATCAATCATTAAATAAGGTAATATTGAATAGAAACACTCTACCATCCCAGAAATTTTAACTGAAAGTGTATAAAAATTTTAAGGCGATAATTGTGCTAAGGTTTATACATGTATTTGTTTCTGACTTAATAAGGCAGTGATTCCCAACCATTTTAACCTTCACACCCCTGGAGCAATCACTTGGACCTGTCACATCCCCAATTTGTTTCATCCACATTTTCAGCATGTGATGACGTGATGTGCTCTCTCAGTTCAAAATAAATTCTTCTCCTACACAATTTGGCCACACCCCTGACACCCTAGGGGGTGAAAACATCCCAGGTTGGGAACCGTGTAATAAAGGGACAACTGTCAAGGCAGAAATTAAAAAAGCGTCATAGGCACAAGCTTCCATGGAGCGTCTGAGAGGGTGCTTCCCCAAGAATATTTTTGAAAAATAGAATTGATTTGGTGCTGAGACACATTTTTTAACGGCAAAAAATGATATTTTTGAATTTGTAACAAATGAAGTGGGGGTGCAATTAATACAAACCTTTTTTCTTGGGGGTTTATTGCC